TTCTAGATACGGCCTTGTCCCTAGGTATAGTACCCTAGACATAAGTACACAATTTATTGTTAGCACCTGTGTCCGTAGATAAATTTGTTAAAATAATAAACGAAAGAAAAGATAAAACGAATTTTAAGATTATATATTATATGCTTAAGATAATAAAATATAAGTAGCGAAAATCATTGCTTAATAAAACCCACAATAATAGTACCTATGTCTATTATATAGTTTAAACTTTCGGTAATTTTACTAATTTTTTTGCAAATAATTTCTTTTATGTTAAAAGTAATTTTTCTTCCACCGTTTAACGAAAAGTATATACCTTTCCCCCTGTGGGTGGGGGTTAGAATACACCCAYGGTAGTCCATGCCYGTCGTAAGAGGCGACCAAAATAGACATATGGAAGGCAACGGGAAACCTCAAACCACCATATTAATATCCCAAGTAACAGCAATCAACATGACAGCTTCTAGTATATTCAACAAATAATTAAGGACCAAGGATGCAACTCATACGTAGAAATGAAAAGGAAAGCGGATAATAGAGAAGAATGGAAGATGGCTGCAAACCAATCTGCGGATTGAAACTATAGAGAGAGAGATATACCTTTATATTCTAACATAATATTATGTTTGATAATAATAGTGAAACCTTTTTTTGTATTTGTGTTAGAGCTTTGTATTTTTGTAGATCAAGCTCAAGTATGGTGTTAAAATATTATTAAAGYCTTCTGTATTCTAGTATAATCATGCTTTTTATCAGACTTCTATAATAGGCTATTATAATATAGATATTACCTAGTACCAATATAATATAGGTTCCATATAATATAATATATATATATATTATGTGGATACTTACAATATTTTATAATAATATCATAGGAACTAGACATAAATAGGTACTTACAAAACTTGTACTACTAATTTTTATTGGTAGTTAGTACTATGATACTATAGAAATAATAATAATAGTAATAATAATAAATGCATACGATGTAGAATGTAGATCATTCTAATTAAAATAARCCTAAATYAATTTTACATATTTTAGAATGAACACATATTTAGTAAGTAAGTACAAATATTTTGTACCCATTTAATTGATTTTTGATGACTATAGACATTATCTGCTTAGTCTAAATTAACAGGATTAGTAATTTTTAACGACCACCAAATATTATACGTTATCCAAATAGCATTTACGCACTTATTTTCGGTATGCGGCATGCTACTACTCCATAGATTAGAGCTAGTTCAGTTATCGCTTTACCATTATATTACTGTATATACTTTATTGTTGATTTTGGTAATGTCGGATGATATAAAAATAAGATAAGTAAGTGGTTTCTACCTGCTCGACAATCGTTTTTAATAGTATTTGACATTCTTAGTCGCAATACATCGTAATCTCGTGTACGCGTACGCCTATGGTTTCTAATTTTTAAGATGTCAGAACTTGTGAAATTGAACTCCACGAATTACGCCCTTATCATATCTATTGACGTAGAACGGTCTTTTAATCAATACAAGAGTATTATCCGGCCAAACGGTCGCAATTTTTTATTTGCAAACTCAAAAATATATGTAGTTTCTCATTGCTTTGTTCTGGTAGAAAATTGATAGTTGTATATATCTACATCATTTGTATTACTTTTATTTATAAAATATTTTCTTTTGTAATTTTTAATACTAATATATTTTTTCGATATTTATATATTTTTAATTTTTTTTTTTACATTTTTACATATTTTGAGTTTTTCTTACTATAATTAAGTTTGTTCCCTATTAATAACTTTATTATTATTATACCCATAACCCACGTCTCACTAATTACATAATATTTGTGGTTATATACTAACGACGGTATGTGAACTAATCATTTTTATTTTAAATTATGATTATTTGTCTTACAGAAAACCCAAAAAAAGAGTCTAGGCCAGGCTAGATGTAATTCCTTAAAAAAACTCAATCCATCAGTTGATTTATTATTTAAAGTCCGACCCGACCCAACCCAAAAATGTATACAAAATATGTATGTAAAAAGTTCGATCTAGCCCTTTTTATTTTTTTAAGACCCAGCCAAATTATAAAAACTCACTTCTGGGTGATAGTTAATGCACTTTCCTGTGCGTCTCCTGAACATGTTCTGATCTTGACAATTGTACACTGGTTGTCCTGATTCATCTGTGGCCATTCGAACCTCTTGTGGTTCGATGCTCAATTGCTTGCTACCGCAAGGGCACAAAGTATCCACCACTAATAGTATTAGGTTGCTGTGGGGAATTTTTTGCACGCTAAATGGCCTGTAAACACAAAAAGTAAATAATATGTATCAACTACTATAATAAGTCGTAAAATTTATGTGGGTTTTTCCTATCTATGCGAGATAAAGATACTTTGGATTTAATTGTGAAAAATCTAAGAGAAAAGTTTATGGATTGCTCGATATTCTTGATAAAATAGTTATTTTAATTCGTTATTTTAGATTACCTATACAATGTATAAATAATAAATATAAAAATAAGCGTTTTATTTAATTTTTCTGAACTTGATTCATGGTATAATAGGTAATGAGCAGTGCAGAGTAGAATACATATTTTATTTCTATATGTTATGCTTTTTAGAACTCGAATTGACTCTGATAGCATAAACAGAATTCAAGGGCCAAGAGTAAGTAATAATAAGTTAGGAACAAATTATTTTTCGAAGGAATATCATAGGCGTTGTAATTACACACAATATGTCAATATGTATATGGTAATGACCAGCAATGGTTTTGATTTGGTTAAGGATAGGTAAAATATAGTTAATAATATGCTGATGTGAATAACAATGTTGGACATATCTGAGTAATGACATTATCATACCGTTCGCATCCAGTAGCGTGGCAATTGGTCAATTTTCCTTTAAGCGGGTTAAATGACCCACTCATGTTCAATCTGTTGGGTTGAAGGACGTACAAATCAACTGATTTGCGGCACGTCCTGGTTATACCCGGTTGGGTTCGGTTGTACACTGGACTGAAGTACTCGGCGTTTTTCATGCTGGGCACGTACAGCGGTGGATGTTGTGGTATGTCTTTGTAGTCGTTTCCAGAGCTCCCCCGGTCACTGCCATCACCGTCCGTTATTGGCTTGTCACTCTGGTCAGTGGTTTTCTCACCTTGATCAGGCACGAATTCGTCTGGCCCCAGGTCGTATTCTGAATATATTGGATCTGGTGGAAAAATGACGAGCTCAGGTGATATATGTATAGATACCAGAACAACAAATCTAGTAGGACTTGTCCGGTTTGTTGTTTAGGGGAGGGGATTTTTTCTTTTTAGTTTCAAATATTATATCTGTCATGTACAAGAAAGGTACATCTCAGTAGAAATGCATACTCGCATAAATTATATGACATAATAGTGTGAATATAATATTCTTCAAAAATACTAATATTACTGGGTATATATATACTATGTAATATACTAATATGAAGTATTTATAATCTAATATATACCTTCTTCTTGAGCTTGAATCCAACCCGGGAATAGAACGTGATAGATGTTAGTTTCGATTGCTAACCAAGTCAATCGACCWATTAACCACTTAACAAACCAGACGGCCGGCTGAAAAGGCTGCAAAAGAAATAAGATGTKTCGTAAACGGTCCTAGTAGAATTAGGTGTTTGTTGATAGCTATTATATATAGAGCTAATTGTTATTATTATTTTGATTGTATGATATTACTCGTAGTGAAGACGCTGAATCGGTTCCATGTTCGATACCGCTGTGACACGCGCCTTGGTTGTCAAGTATGGTGATTTTCTTGTAAATGCCGTCCTGAACMAACGAGTCCATAATTGTACCGTCTGTTTGTCCGAAAAACTGTCCGGTATGATGCGATTGTTCGGATATTATGATGAAACCGTTGTTATCCAACACATAGCAGTCGAGGTCGTCAGAAGCACACGTCTTCTTGCATCCAGTCATGCCGGTACACTTGACAAAGATTAATAGAAACAAATGATAGCATTTTGTAAATATTAAGTTGTTACTTTTATACGTACTGCTGAAGTGATGTTGATGAAGTGCGAAGCAATTGATGAATGTTGAAATTGTATGCCAACAACCGCGGCTGCTGCTCGATGACCTTTATTTTCAACGAACATTGCGTGAGTAGCTGTAATCAATGGTCGATCAAGTCCAGCGCCTGTAAAGAGTCAAACGACTTTGATTTATTTTTATCCTTTTACACTAACAACATATCCGATTGTAATTTTCCAAATGTAGCCGTTGTCTTATAAACAGACTATACCTTAAACACAGGTACACCAATATACGATACAGGCGATGTGAAAAGTAATTGTATAACAATATCAATATTAACGTTTATATGAATTACTAAATTATTGTTTTTAACTGTTTATAATTTCATTGATAGAAAAATAAATTTAAAAATTACAACTGGAATTTTTAGCATGAAAAAAAATCAAATTAACCAGAATTGAATGGCACTGAGAACACAAAACTTTCAGGTTCAATGTTGTGTTGGTCAATCGCTCTTTTGTACCACACCTCGTCTATGGCTTTTTTGTTGGTTTCGCTAAAATGTCTAGAAAAATGTGTGAAAAAGAAATGGTTATACTTATATTAATGATACGACTTGGTAAATCATCAAACACTTACGGTTCRGGACCTCTGTTGTTGGCTGTTCCGTGATCTCGCCATCTCAATAATCCGCTCCTAGTCGCAATGAAAGTAAGCGTTACACCAAACATATGATGTCCTTGACTATGAACGCATGCAACATAGTATACAAAATTACAAATCAATACAGAACGAAATAGTGTTGTTTTATACATGTTTTATTTTATTTATAATATTATTAAAAACTCCTCTGAAGAAGCCACAGAAACGTAATTTTAGTATTTTAAAAAAGTAATTACATCTTTAACAACTTTGGATTTTAAATTGATTAAAAAAAATTAGTCTAGTTAATATTAAGAAAAATATTGRTACAATAATTATATTGTCGTTACTTCTTCAGAAGCTTGTAACTTAAATGTTATGTGGAAGTGAGACGTCTTACCAAATCCGCTGCGATAATAATTTAAAACAATTTCTATGGCGGGGAAACACTTAATCATAAGTAAAAAAAATATGCAATTCAAAATCGATTGAAGTTCATATTTTCYGAACAACAATCTTAAATTACGTTAGGTACTTTGACACACTGAGCTAATAATAAATCAAATCTACAGTTCAGTGCAAATAGTTTGAATGTACCACGTGTATCATCTACTTTACCTGTGCAGAAGTGCCATTAGTGTGGCTATTGGGCTTTAAAATGTAGACAAGGTTAGTGCAATTTTTAAATTAGGTGCAAATATATAATAAATCATAATTCATATATAAAACGAAAGTAGGTAACTATAACTTACAGTAGTATTAATATATAAYTTATCAACAAAATAAAATATCTGCTAAAAAACTGTGTAGGTGTTTGTCGTTTTTGACAGAGTAACATGAGTATTTAAAATATTWTTAATAATTCAAAGGTAATACAAAATAAAACCATTTTTTTCTTGAATACAATTTATGTTATTATTAAAGATCTAATAATATTCTGTTCAACTTAAAACGTTTATATTAGAGCTTTTTTGATTTATTATGATCTATCATGAGTTTTTTTTTAATACTATTATAAATATTTATTTTCGAATATTATCTAGGTATTGTATAATACCATATTGATTTATTTTTAATTTTTGTTACTTGTTTCGTATTTAAAAAAATGATATTTTTCTGAATATTTTTCTTTGAACGTTTTAGATATTATAGTAAAAATTAAAATGRACAGATAGAAAACAAATGTTAACATAGAAACATGAAMAAATATTTATTTGATATAATCTAAAAAATAAAGCATAAAAAATTAAATTTAGAAGTGCGAGTTCAAAAATAATTTCAGCACAAACAAATGAATCAGCGTATAACTGAAATCAACTAAACTATATTGATATATGTAAATACATCTTTTAGTATTGGTAAATACTTAAAATATTCAGATATTTTATTTTATGATATATTAATGTAATAAAATTAAAATAAGTAATCATGCTTATCAATTATTATTAATGTTGGTGCATAATGTATGTGTGTAATTAATGTGTTTACTTATCATAATACATATTGTAAGTACTTAATATAATCCGATATTAATCATGATTTGTGATTTCAGTGCGTTAAAATGCGTGTATAAAATAACAGCCAAATAGTTCCTTTTTATTTTTTATTTTTTACCTATTTTTTAAATTTTGCATTTTGAGTAACGCGTTTGTGGATTTACTGAAAATAAAAGTTGTAAAATAGGTACTTTAAATATTTTTTTCTTTCTTTTTACTGTCTTATATTTCAGCGAATTATATAAAATGGTAAAAACACATAATACTCGAAATTCAGGAAAACTTGAATCCAAATAAAAACTATTTTTATAAACTTTTAGATTAAAAATATATGATAAAATAAATAAACAATGCGCTTACTGTTTATCAGCCTTAGCTATTTGACTTGTTAGTTTTTCAAGACTATCAGTGACTAATGCATCAAATACTAAGGATTGTAAAAGATTTTTATCGCCTGCAATTAAAAAAAATCTCATTAATAAATCTATAGAGTTAGGTACTTAAAATGATTACATGGGCATTAGTAACAAAACACTTACAGTAATGAGAGTCTTTCTCCTTTCTCCACGTGTTATAAACCTGACTTGTGCCTGAAAATACTCACAAGAATTAATATTTTGATGTTTATTAATTCATTGAATAATTACCAGGTTCTCTTTGTGGCATTCTAGACCTTAATGACATCCATTTCCAACCAGGACGTTTGGATCTGGACAAGAAATGTAACACTCTATCTTCGGGAGTTTTAAAGTTATGTTCATTTCCATAGTTATATTCACAGTAAACCCTATAAAATTAAATTTCAATTATGAAACATAGATAAAATATATACGTAAAACAGAATTTAAWTTAGGTTTGTACTCACCACTCAGGATGGACTTTCCAATTTTTGCCTTTAAAATACTCTGTAACTGAAAAACGAACACAAATAAATTTAAAATATCTATGCAGTAAACATATTTTTTATAGTCACTAACTATTGAATTGAGTCAACTTAATTTCTTCTTCTCCGAGTAGTTCATACATTCCATAACTTTCTGGAAGAGCTATACCTAAACTATAAGGCGTATCTTCGATTGAATGATAAAAGTATTTATATTTTCTAGTAGATACTCGTCTCTGGAAATTAAAAAAAAWTTCAAATTAAATTAAATTTTAAATATAATAGTTTAATAAAAATATTATTTTAAGTTCTTTTTTACAAAACAAACGTTTTTGTGAAAAATATTATCTACATTTTAGTTTACTTCTTTTTT